CTGCTGTAGATCCCGAGGAGGGATTCACCTTGCCATTGTAGAACCTTGGCTCTAGTTTTGGAAATTGTTTCACTGTTGGAGGCATGTCCTGCACTGTCTCACCAAGCTCACAAAGTGATGTGTGTTGCTACCTGTTCCATTTGTGAAATGGCTTGTGCATCCATTGCTGTGAACTGCGTACCTGTTTATGATGTACGCGCTGTGTCGAACGACTCAAGGCATGAGTGGATGTTCCATTGTGATGTCTCGGTTGTAGTTCTGCCTGATCTGTGCTTTGAGTGTTCTAACTTGTGAAAACAATGTTCTGTGTGCTCGCTCTGCTCCTCCTTGTGATTGTGAACTGTATGCTCAGTTCCTTGTAGTGATGTTGCCATTGTTGTTGGCCACTGCTGTGATCAGTGATGTCAGGAAGTCTTCCTGATCTGACTGTAGTATGGAGTGTGTTGTTCTTCCACATTCAATGAGGAAGTGCTGTAGTTGTGTGACTGCATAGTCGAAGGGCGTCCTTTTGTTGGTCAACTGTATGGCCATGATCATCCGGATTGGATGTCATTTGCTGTGAGGATTGGATGTACCTTGCTCTCGTCAAATCCGTTGATGTAGCCGAAGTCGAGCTGTATGATTGGAAGCTTGCTGTGTTGTTTTGGGTGATTGTTCTGCCTGCCTCTTGCTTGTAAACGTTTGGACGCCAACTCCTGTAAGGAAGGTGTGTCACGTTGTTCTCGAGTATCTCCTGTGGTGTTTGTTGCTTGGGTGCTTGTACTACTTTCGCTTTTGTTCCTTGTTGTTGTTCTTCATCATCTGATTCGAGTTGTGTAGGAAACTCCGGATGTTCCTCAAAGTTTGTATAGCCTGTCCAGGGCTTGTCTGATGTTTTGGCTTGCTGTGTTGTCCATTCATCTTCTACCAATCTTGTGTTGCGCCTTTCTCCCACTGGTTGTACCTTGGTCTGTCTCCAAGATATGAGTCGCTTGATGTCTACGCTGTTCGAGGCTCGATGTGTATTTTTCAGCATGGGCCTAGTAGCTGTAATGTCTCTGATAGGGCTGTGCCTTTCTTGATTCTGAATGCTGTTTCTCCTTTCCGCATTTGCTGTTGCGCTTTGTTTGGAGCGTCCATTGATTGATACTTGTCATCAAACGTGTTCGATGTACCATCCTTGAATTTGATGGTTGTTCTTCTGTAGTCCTCAAGTTGTTCCGTTGGAATTGGACATTGTGTCCTTGATGGTGTGAAGAGTGTCTTCCTGTATTGTCTGTGACTCTGATAAGTTCCCCTTGTGTGTTGAACTGCCAGTAGTCTCCTGCATAGCCTGTGTCTGCAGAACCTTGTGGTGTAAGCGTTGTGGTCGGCGCTAGCATGCCAAGCTGTGCTTGCTGTGTGCTTTGTACCTGTAACTGTCTTCCTTTTGGAAGTGTTGTGATGTCTGCTTGTTGGAAGAACAGGCCATCTCTGTTCTCCAATGTGCTGTTGAATCCCTTGCTGCGCTGTAGTCTTGGATTGTCATCCAATGTACCTTGTTCCACCAGCCTTGTCACAGAAAGGATTGGCTGTTTAACCTCACAAACATAAAATGGTATGACAACTTGTTGTCCACTGTGATTTGTCATGCAAACCCGTCTGTACCCGTAAAGCTTGATGTGCTGGTTGGTGAGTTGTGCCGATCATGTTATTTCTTTTAATCCTGAAACGGGTACTGCTGATGGTACTGCTAGCTGTGGTGGTTGTGGCAATGCAACTTGTTGCATCTGTGTCTGATCCTGATGGTACCAGTTGTTGTCATAGTGTGCTTGACTGTACCAGTAATCTGTCTGGTCGTTGGTGTTGAAGTTGCCAGTGTCGCAGTTGTAGATCGCCACTCTGCATTGTTTGGCCATCTGTAGCAAACATTTGTTGCGTGCTTTCCTTTTGCTCCTTGTCCTCCTCGTTGGTTGTTGTAGTATCCTTTTCCTTTTCCTTTGTTGTTGTATCCTTTTCCTTTGCCATATCCTTGTTGTCCTTTGAAAGGATTTCCTTGTCCAACCGGTTGTTGATTGTACTTGCCCTTTCCTCCTTTGTAGTTGTAGTTGTTCCCGTAGCTCCCGTAGCCTTTGCCTTTGTTGTATTTTCCTTTGCCCTTGTGTTTGCCCTTCTTTCCTTTGTCTTTGTTGTACCATGTTGCTCCTATGTCCATCGGTGCCGGTCCTTGATTGTTGCTGCCTGATGTGATTGCTTGTAGCCCGGTGAATGTTGCTGTTGCTCTGTAGTATTCGATCACCATGGATCTGATCTGTGCATATGTTGTGATGTTTCCTGCTTGCAGCTGTAGGTGTTGTTGTAGTGGGCCTTTTGTCTCATTGAGCAGTACTGCAATCTTGACTGCATCTGGTAGTAGTGTGTTGCTGTCTTGATCGTAAATGGAAAGTTGGAACTCCCAAGTTGCGAAGCTCTCCTCGAACTTCTGTTCATCAAATTGTGGTTTTAGTGGCCGTGTAAGGTATCCAATGCTCCTTGTTCCAAGTGGTATGGAACTTCTTGAATGTATCAGCCGCCATGTTTCAAAGCCGTTGCCTTGTGTGTTTTGTCTGCAGATTGAAGATGCTGGTCCATCGCATATGCTCACTAAGATGTAGTGTAAGTTGTTGCTTAGTTGTATCCATTGATTGCTCTGCCACCTGTTGTGAAGGTGCTGCATTCTCCAGTTGGTCGTTTGTAACTTGTCCTACTGAGTGCTCTGACTGTCTGAGGTCTGTTGTATGCTGGGTCTTGTAGTCCCAAGTATGCTGCCATCTTGTACTTCCATTCCTCGAAGGTGTTGTATTCTCTCGTGAGGCGTGGTGGTGATATCTTGTACTTGTGGATTCCTTCCAGCTGCTGCTCCTGTTGCTGTTGTTGTTGCTGTTGATGTTGATGATGTTGTTGTTGTTGTTGTTGTTGTTGTTGTGGTGGTTGTGGTTGTGGTTGTGGTTGTGGTTGTGGTTGTGGGTGTTGCTGTTGCGGTTGCGTTCGTGTTTGTGTTTGTGGTTGTGGTTGTTGTTGTTGTGGTTGTGGTTGTGATTGTTGCTGTTGCGGTTGTGTTTGTGTTTGTGCTTGTGTTTGTGGTTGTTGTTGTTGTTGTTGTTGTTGTTGTTGTGGTTGTTGGTTGTTGGTTGTTGGTTGTTGGTTGTTTGTTGTTGTTTGTTTGTCGTTGTTCGTTGTTTGTTGTTTGTTGTTTGTTGCTTGTTGTTTGTTGTTTGTTTGTTGTTTGTTGTTTGTTGTTTGTTGTTTGTTGGTTGTTGTTTGTTGTTGTTTGTTGTTGTTGTTTTTGTTGTTGTTGTTGTTGTTGTTGTTGTTGTTGTTGTTGTTGTTGTTGTTGTTGTTGTTGTTGTTGTTGTTGTTGTTGTTGTTGTTGTTGTTGTTGTTGTTGTTGTTGTTGTTGTTGTTGTTGCGTGTTGTTGTTGTTGTTGTTGTTGTTGTTGTTGTTGTTGTTGTTGTTGTTGTTGTTGTTGTTGTTGTTGTTGTTGTTGTTGTTGTTGTTGTTGTTGTTGTTGTTGTTGTTGTTGTTGTTGTTGTTGTTGTTGTTGTTGTTGTTGTTGTTGTTGTTGTTGTTGTTGTTGTTGTTGTTGTTGTTGTTGTTGTTGTTGTTGTTGTTGTTGTTGTTGTTGTTGTTGTTGTTGTTGTTGTTGTTGTTGTTGTTGTTGTTGTTGTTGTTGTTGTTGTTGTTGTTGTTGTTGTTTTGTTTTGTTGTTTGTTGTTGTTGTTGTTGTTGTTGTTGTTGTTGTTGTTGTTGTTGTTGTTGTTGTTGTTGTTGTTGTTGTTGTTTTTTGTTTGTGTTGTGTTGTTGTTGTTGTGTTTTGTTGTTTTGTTGTTTTGTTGTTTTGTTGTTTTGCTTTTGCTGTTGGTTGTCGTTGTTTGTTGTTTGTTGTTTGTTGTTTGTTGTTTGTTGTTTGTTGTTTGTTTTTGTTGTTGTTGTTGTTGTTGTTGTTGTTGTTGTTGTTGGTTTTTGGTTGTTGTTGTTGTTGTTGTTGTTGTTGTTGTTGTTGTTGTTGTTGTTGTTGTTGTTGTTGTTGTTGTTGTTGTTGTTGTTGTTGTTGTTTTGTCGTTGTTTGTTGTTTGTTGTTGTTGTGGTTGTGGTTGCGGTTGTGTTTGTGTTTGTGTTTGTGGTTGTTGTTGTTGTTGTTGTTGTTGTTGTTGTTGTTGTTGTTGTTGTTGTTGTTGTTGTTGTTGTTGTTGTTGTTGTTGTTTTGTCGTTGTTTGTTGTTTGTTGTTTGTTGTTGTTGTTGTGGTTGCGGTTGCGGTTGTGTTTGTGTTTGTGGTTGTGGTTGTTGTTGTTGTTGTTGTTGTTGTTGTTGTTGTTGTTGTTGTTGTTGTTGTTGTTGTTGTTGTTGTTGTTGTTGTTGTGCCGCCATGTTGCTCACTACTGTGTACCTGAACCTGTGAGTGCGTGTTGCAGCTCACCCTGGTTAGTGGCCGAGAATAGTGTACCAGGGATCACTGCTCCGCAAGCATGTTAAAGTAGAACTGACTGTGTAATCTCCTAACTACCTGAATGTGTAAACCTGTGATGAACGACTCGCCCCCCGTTGTGGGGGTGGGGTGGGGTGGTTGGGTGGTTGGGGTGTTTGGTTTATGGTTGGTTTGCTGTGAGTTTAGGGTGGGTTTGGGGTTCTGTTGCGAGAGGTGCTGGGGTGCGGGTTCACGGGGTGAAAGGGGTGCGGTGCTTGTCTGCATCCCCAGCATTTGCCAGCATCATCCCCAACATGCAGATGATGCGGGGGAAGGGGGGACGCTAGCCTTGGGGGGGTTAGCGGCCTGGGGACTGGAACATAGATACACACACACACACATACTGTGGATGGACAAAATCCTGCACCACCTAAGAAATCCTGGCATGATGTTTCCTTTGTAAATGCCAACAAACAATGGTTTTTCAGGGTTTCAACGTGGTGCAAGATCTCATCCACCCACAGTATGTGTTGAATGAAACCTGTTTTGTGTTGGGAGCACCTCGAGTCACGGCAGCCTCGGGCGTTCCTCCGAAGGCGCTGCTGGCGGCGGTGGCCCAGGCCGCTAAGTGGCGCAAGGCGCTGGAGCTGCTGGAGGCTTGGGGTGGGGATGGGGTGGGGTGGGGTGTGCCTGGTAGGACTGGTGGCGTTCAGCTTTTGGAGGTGTGGTGGAACTGGGTTGGGTGGGGTATTGGGGATGGGGTGTTGGAGTTGGGGAGGAGGCTTGATTGGGGGCGGGGAGGTTTGGTTAGGGGTTGTTTGGTTGGGGGGGGGAGGGGGCCGGTGGCGTGTTGGGCGGTTGGTGGTGATAGTTGTGGGAACTCCCTTCGGTCTGATTTCCCAAAGGTCTTTTTTTCCGGTTTCTGAAGTACTGCAATTTGTGATGACTTCCCTTGTAGAGGTTTTACCCATCTCCAAGAAAGAAGCCATGACTTGAGGCGATCGGGCGCTAAACAGTGATCAGGGAGGGGCTCTGTGGGTAAATGACAAACTTATCCCCATAAGGGTGTGTCTATCCCAAAACTTGAGTGGCGATGTAGCCTAAGTTACGGACCCTTTGAACCAGCCAAGGGTTTGGGTGATCAGGTGTAATCCCAAATGGTTTAATAAACTCGATCGAAAACTGTTCCGGCCCACTTTCTCCCTAGGCTTCAGCCCCCCTAACGCAAAATGGTCGACCGAAGCTTTTTGTTGCAACCAATACAGCAGTTCTGTTACCCATGGTTTGAATGGCTCTTGGAATCCCAACCAATCCGTGTTTTTCGTATTAACCCCTGCTTTGCTTGGAGCCGGCTTTGAGGCGGAGATGTGCCCAAGATTGGGGCGGATGCTGGCGCCGGGCGCGGTGAGCGCGGCGCTCACCGCCTGCAAGGTGGAGGGCGCCTGGGAGGTGGGGGTAAGGATCTTGCTCAAAGGCGTTTTTAGGGCTTTGCAGGGGCGGCTTGTTGGGGGGCTTCCATTTGACCCACTAAAGGTTTAACACAAGTTAAACAACTTGTTAAAGCGTTTTTAGGGCGTTTTAGGGGGCGTAGGTGTCCTGCCTGGAAAATAGAGCGCGATTCCTGGTTTACCTGGTGGTTTAGTCATCTACCAGGGAAGCCCATCTATTTCCCCTAGAAGGACACCTGTGAGAACAACCGGAAGCAAAACAAAAACCAAGCAGCAACCAACCAGGTCAACACAGGTATCAAACGCAGGACACAGCACGACCGTTTTGTTGCGTTCAACCCAAAGGATTGCAAGATAACAGACCAAAAGAACCCTCGCTTTGGTCTGTTTCCTTTCAACGAATCCATTGCCTGTTCTCCGTTGGTGCAAAGAGTCTGTGATCGTTTTTTTTTAAAGGTTTGTTGAGTCATCAACCCATCAATTGGGCCAGAGTTTTGACCCATTGAACTTTTAGGGTCCGATCTTTTTTCTCAAAGGTACTGGGTGAAGGTTGGCACAATTCCAAGTCAGTGCAGCCATCCCCTTGTACTTACACCAAGCCCCATCAGGTCCAAGGTCAAATTAGGCTAGGTCCCCCAGCAGTGCCCTTTCACCCATTTTTTGGGGAGGGTTCCCCTACTAAAATCGACGAAACAGAAAACGTTGATACTCATATTCTAACCTCTCTACTCAAGAACCTAGGGGTTGACTAGGGGCGGATGGCCCACTTTTTGTGTACTTGGGCTTCACCTTGGCGTGGAGGGCTTGGATTCCTTGCTAGGCCGCATTGGCTCTTTGGGTACGGCAGGCTGGCCCATTGCTCGTGGGGGGCAAGGGGAGCGAGCCCGGCGGGAATGACAGCTCGTAGGCTACCTTGGAAAAACACACATGTATATATATATATACATATACACATATGTATATATGTATGTATATGTATATACACATATATATATACATACATACACATATGTATATATGTATGTATATGTATATACACACACATATATATATATATATATATACATACACATATGTATATATATATATATATATATGTATATAATACAATATAGACATATATATATATAAATATATATTCATATATACATAAATATATATATATATATGTATATATGTATGTATGTATATATATATATATATACATACATATATATATACATATCTGCATATCTGCATATATACATATATACATATATTAATACATATATATATATACACACATACTAATATTAGTATTAATATATATATATATAGATATATACATATTTAGGACCCCAAAACTTGGGCCTGAAAGCGTGGGTTTCTCATGGAAGCTTGCGGCACAGTTGTCCCAGAAAAGGCGGTGGACGGACCAGCATACGGTCGCGGCGCTATCTTGAACCCTTTTTGGTTGTGGAAAGCAGGGTTTCAGGTTGCCACCGTTTGTACTTCCCCGCAGGTGGTATGGATAGGAATTAATCGAGGGGCCTCCTCCAGGGCGTCTGGGGAGCCGCACGCAAGGCCTCTATTTAGCACCTCCGGGTGATGTAGGGATTCTCCTGACGATCCTCTGACATTCCTATAGGTGGCTTGGGGTGTATAGATTTGGCTGGGTTTCCAGCTGTTGGGGCCCCAGATTTCTCCCATGCCATTTCGTACAGAGAATTGGTCCCGTGCATGGAGAAAATCCGCTTCGCACCAGTTGGAGTTGGTTGTCAACTAGTTTTCATAGGGTCATCCATCCCAAAGCTAATGACATTGAGACACTTCCAACGGAACCAAAGCAATGCCTGTAGCACTTGATGAAGCAGGGCCGCAGGCTCCTCTCTTTGAACATTCAGACCTGCTGTATGAAAAGCAATACATCGACATCAACACCCGGTCACATCAGAGGCGTGGAATGCAGGCGACGTGGGCGATTGGCGCACGTGGGGTGCCTGCCGCTGATGCAACTGAAAGAATGCATGTATTAGCATCTGATGGCTTTGATGACAGTTCTGAATCTTTCCCTGAGGCAAGCATCAGAGACAGACTTGCAAACTTGATTGCTGTGATGGAAGAAAGGCCTTGCTGGCGTAGGTGGCGTAAGCGGCGAAGGTAAGAAGCGGAGAAGGCATTGATGTTGAATTCTGGATTGATCATGGTCGTCTAGACTTGCAGCACGGAGTTTGCAACTGGCGAACCGTGTTATGCTAGGCGAATGCACAATGGTGTGAGGGTGGAATTCAGGCTACGTGGATGATTTGCACACTTGGGTTGCTTGCCGCTGATGCAACTGAAAGAATGTATGTATCAGCATCTGATGGCTTTGATGACAGTTGTAAATCTTTCCCCGAGGCAAGCATCAGAGACAGACTTGCAAACTTGATTGCTGTGATGGAAGAGAGGCCTTGCTGGCATAGGTGGCGTAAGCGGCCAAGGTAAAAAGCGGAGGGTGCATTGATGTTGATCTCCGGATTGATCATGGTCGTCTAGATATTCGGCTTTAAAGAGGACTGCATGACTTTCATAGCAGAGTTTGGTACTTGGCGAACCGTGCTACGCCAGGTGACTGCGCAATAGTGTGAGGGTGCAACTCAGGCGATGTGGGTGATTGGCGCTTTTGGGTTGCTTGCCGCTGATGCAACTGAAAGAATGCATGTATTAGCATCTGATGGCTTTGATGACAGTTGTGAATCTTTCCCTGAGGCAAGCATCAGAGACAGACGATGGAAGAGAGGCCTTGCTGTTATAGGTGGCGCAAGTGGCGAAGGTAAGAAGCGGAGGATGCATTGATGTTGATTTCTGGATTGATCATGGTCGTCTAGACTTGCAGCGCGGAGTTTGCAACTGGCGAACCGTGTTATGCTAGGTGAATGCGCAACGGTGTGAGGGTGGAATTCAGGCTACGTGGATGATTTGCACACTTGGGTTGCTTGCCGCTGATGCAACTGAAAGAATGCATGTATTAGCATCTGATGATGTTGATGACAGTTCTGAATCTTTCCCTGAGGCAAGCATCAGAGACAGACTTGCAAACTTGATTGCTGTGATGGAAGAAAGGCCTTGCTGGCGTAGGTGGCGTAAGCGGCGAAGGTAAGAAGCGGAGAAGGCATTGATGTTGAATTATGGATTGATCATGGTCGTCTAGACTTGCAGCACGGAGTTTGCAACTGGCGAACCGTGTTATGCTAGGCGAATGCACAATGGTGTGAGGGTGGAATTCAGGCTACGTGGATGATTTGCACAATTGGGTTGCTTGCCGCTGATGCAACTGAAAGAATGCATGTATTAGCATCTGATGGCTTTGATGACAGTTGTAAATTTTTCCCCGAGGCAAGCATCAGAGACAGACTTGCAAACTTGATTGCTGTGATGGAAGAGAGGCCTTGCTGGCATAGGTGGCGTAAGCGGCCAAGGTAAAAAGCGGAGGATGCATTGATGTTGATCTCCGGATTGATCATGGTCGTCTAGATATTCGGCTTTAAAGAGGACTGCATGACTTTCATAGCAGAGTTTGGTACTTGGCGAACCGTGCTACGGGCTACGCCAGGTGACTGCGCAATGGTGTGAGGGTGCAACTCAGGCGATGTGGGTGATTGGCGCTTTTGGGTTGCTTGCCGCTGATGCAACTGAAAGAATGCATGTATTAGCATCTGATTGCTTTGATGACAGTTGTGAATCTTTCCCTGAGGCAAGCATCAGAGACAGACTTGCAAACTTCATTGCTGTGATGGAAGAGAGGCCTTGCTGTTATAGGTGGCGCAAGTGGCGAAGGTAAGAAGCGGAGGATGCATTGATGTTGATTTCTGGATTGATCATGGTCGTCTAGACTTGCAGCGCAGAGTTTGCAACTGGCGAACCGTGTTATGCTAGGTGAATGCGCAACGGTGTGAGGGTGTAACTCAGGCGATGTGGGCGATTGGCGCACTTGGGTTGCCTGCCGCTGATGCAACTGAAAGAATGCATGTATTAGCATCTGATGGCTTTGATGACAGTTCTGAATCTTTCCCTGAGGCAAGCATCAGAGACAGGCTTGCAAACTTGATTGCTGTGATGGAAGAGAGGCCTTGCTGTTATAGGTGGCGCAAGTGGCGAAGGTAACAAGCGGAGAAGGCATTGATGTTGAATTCTGGATTGATCATGGTCGTCTAGACTTGCAGCGCGGAGTTTGCAACTGGCGAACCGTGTTATGCTAAGCGAATGCACAATGGTGTGGGGGTGGAATTCAGGCTACGTGGATGATTTGCACACTTGGGTTGATTGCCGCTGCTGCAACTGAAAGAATGCATGTATTAGCATCTGATGGCTTTGATGACAGTTGCGAATCTTTCCCTGAGGCAAGCATCAGAGACAGACTTGCAAACTTGATTGCTGTGATGGAAGAGAGGCCTTGCTGTTATAGGTGGCGCAAGTGGCGAAGGTAAGAAGCGGAGGATGCATTGATGTTGATTTCTGGATTGATCATGGTCGTCTAGACTTGCAGCGCGGAGTTTGCAACTGGCGAACCGTGTTATGCTAGGTGAATGCGCAACGGTGTGAGGGTGTAACTCAGGCGATATGGGCGATTGGCGCACTTGGGTTGCCTGCCGCTGATGCAACTGAAAGAATGCATGTATTAGCATCTGATGGCTTTGATGACAGTTCTGAATCTTTCCCTGAGGCAATCAGAGACAGACTTGCAAACTTGATTGCTGTGATGGAAGAGAGGCCTTGCTGTTATAGGTGGCGCAAGTGGCGAAGGTAAGAAGCAGAGGATGCATTAATGTTGATTTCTGGATTGATCATGGTCGTCTAGACTTGCAGCGCGGAGTTTGCAACTTGGCGAACCGTGTTATGCTCGGCGAATGCACAATGGTGTGGGGGTGGAATTCAGGCTACGTGGATGATTTGCACACTTGGGTTGCTTGCCGCTGATGCAACTGAAAGAATGCATGTATTAGCATCTGATGGCTTTGATGACAGTTCTGAATCTTTCCCTGAGGCAATCAGAGACAGACTTGCAAACTTGATTGCTGTGATGGAAGAAAGGCCTTGGTGGCGTAGGTGGCGCAAGCGGCGAAGGTAAGAAGCGGAGGATGCATTGATGTTGATTTCTGGATTGATCATGGTCGTCTAGACTTGCAGCGCGGAGTTTGCAACTTGGCGAACCGTGTTATGCTAGGCGAATGCACAATGGTGTGAGGGTGGAATTCAGGCTACGTGGATGATTTGCACACTTGGGTTGCTTGCCGCTGATGCAACTGAAAGAATGCATGTATTAGCATCTGATTATTTTGATGACAGTTCTGAATCTTTCCCTGAGGCAAGCATCAGAGACAGACTTGCAAACTTGATTGCTGTGATGGAAGAGAGGCCTTGCTGGCATAGGTGGTGGCGACAGTAAGAAGCGCGAATTGATCATGGTCGCCTAGATATTCGGCTTTGAAGTGGATTGCTTGACTTTCGCGGAGTTTGTAACACGGGTTTGCCAAGCAAGCGAGCAGATCCTACAAAGACATCCACCCCCCGCCCCTCCATCCACCACCCCCAACCCCGCAACCCCCCCTCCACCCACCCCCGGCATCCACCCGCAATCCCCCCCCCCCTCTCCCCTCCACCCTCCGGCCCATTTTCCCCCTCGCCGCCAGCGCCAAGCAAGTGCCCAGCAAGCGCCGTCGGAGGCCTTTGGGAGCGCCTCCGTGCGCAGCGCCGCCCTAGGCTGGGCGCCTCAGGGACTCTGGAGCTGGGGCCCAGCCCACAGCGACTCAGATGGTACCTGAGAGAGGGGCCCTGGTTTGGACCGTGTTTTTGTGGTTAAAGGCGCCCCATGTCAGGTTTCCCCCTTTTAGGTTCTATGCTAATTGGTGGGAGGGAAAGTTGGAGCACCCTTTAACATAGCAACATCCACGAAAGGAACGCGTTGCACGTAAATCATCCGTGTGGGCGCTGCGTTCCAAGGGTTTGGGGTCCTCCCCCCCTCCCAGCTTGAGGCAGCTTTGCAAGCTCCACACGCTGGGAGCTGGCGTTGCAGCTGCTAGAGGCCTGTCATTTCCGCTTGGGAGGGCCTTTGGCCGTTCAAACAGATGTTGGTGCATTTTGCCAAGGGATGTTAGGACTTTAGCTTTTTGCCAACTAATGGGTTTTCCGTATTAAACCACTAAAAGTTAAGCTTCTAGCAGGGGGCAGAAAGCAACCGAGAGGTGGGGGAGGATGTAGGGGGACCCAACCCTCAGCCAATCCTTTTCCTGAAGTTACGGATCGGTTTTGCCGACTTCCCTTACCTACTTTGTACTATCGACCAGAGGCTACAAACCAGGGGGCAATTGGGGTCAGCAGGGGCGGTCAATCAACCCCTAGGGCCACATACGTTTTGATCAAGGCACATTTGGGTAGGTCTCTAGGGGAACCGCTCTTTTGTACTTTTGAAGTCAACAGGAAGCTGGCGCAAACAAACAGGCTAATCGGGATGCAGCAGAAAGTCTGCAAAGGGATCTACATGCAAGAGTTGGAGAACCCCTCGGAGGATGTGCAGAGAAGCCAAGAGGACAGTTCCCCTCCCCAGTTTTCAGAAACATTCATATGCGGATTAGTCTTTATTTGCCTGCGATTTGATCAGAGTTTGCCAACCTTGTTTGGGTTTAGGTTTCCCTCCAACTTCGAGGCAGAAATCGAAGAAAACCAGCTTCGAGCTGGTGTGATGGCTGCGCCCGGCTGTGTTGGTTTCCCGTCATTTGCCCGCACACAGTTGACCCCTTCAAGCCCTTCAGCGTTCGGCGGAGAAGCGCTTCGCTTTGCGGGAAGCAAAGAGTCGTTTGAAGCTTTCTTTTTCTGCGGGGGGTTTGAAGTTGAGCCACAGCGCTCAAACTGGCCGTTCCTGGATTGTGGTTGAACCCCAAATTGTTGAGCTTTTTCCTGAAGAAGTCGTCTTTTTCGTGCAGTTTCCTAACCTTCCAGGCCTTCCGAGCAACCCTACCACCGGAAGGGCTGACTAGTCCAAGAAGCTCAAATCCTGGGCACTTGGCGCTAGGGGGGCATTTTTACCAAGAAAGAGACAGCCGCCCGGACGTAGTTAGACATGGTTGGTGGACGCAAGTCGACATGTAAAGGATTTGCATCCCGAGGTTTATATTTCAACTGCATACCCATGAGTCGAAGACGGGAGGCGGGGGGGGGGCGGGGGCAGGAAGACCCCATTTGGAGGGAACCACGCCGAGAATCATGTCACAGCGACTTCACGCAATGCGGGTTGGAACTGTCCCATGGTTGAACCGGTATCCCAAAAAGCAGCATCTCAGGCAGATGATCGCCAGAGCCCCAGGGCGACAGGTTGGAGCTGTTCGACTTGTCCATAGAGAGCCAGTGGTCAGCACCGCAACTTCACTTGCTGCTGTGGATGGACGAAACCTGCACCACCTAAGAAACCCCTGAATGATTCGATTCCCCTGTAAATACCAACAAACAATCGTCTTTCATGGTTTCTTAGGTGGTGCAGGATTTCGTCCATCAACAGCATGGGTGGCTGAATGAGCGAGCGAGAGAGAGAGAGAGTTTGTGTGTGTTTGTTGTTGTCACATTTTGCAATCACAGCATGGCAGATCTCTGTTCAACAGTCCAAACTCTACGGTGATGTGGTCAGGCGGTTTTGTGACGATTGTTCTGTTTCAAACGGCCTGGATGCGTTTCAGATAGGATATGTTTCAGATGGCAAGCACGTTCATATGGTTCCATGGCGTTCCATGGCATCGCCACGGTCTTTCCATAGCACGGGTATGCAGCATGCATTTTCCCAGATGCCCTCAGCGCTGAAGTGCAAGGTGAGACTCTGCTTGAGGAGATGGATGGTGGTTTTACTCAGCAAATCAGAAAAGTTGGGGCAGGTTGGGCTCTCCTCCCAGATTTATGAAGCGCAATGGCTTGAACTTGGGGCATTGCTTGAGTCGTTTGTGTCCTGTCTTCTTAGCCAAGGAAGGAAAGGGATACAAGGGACCCAGAGAGATCACCGTGACATTCTCAGGCACTGCAAGCCATGTCAATGCGACCTGCGACAGGGTTGCTCTGCCATGCCTGAAGCACTCAAGTCCATTTCTTGACTTCCAACGAGCTCCCAAAGTCGCAGATGATGGGAGCCGACTAGTCAATGGTCATTTATGTCATTTCCAAAACTTGGACCCCCGCAAAGGCTAGGTTTGCTTCTGATCTCCCAACAAGAGTTCCAAAAGCAGTTCCTTTGGGACACGCCCAAAGCCAGCAGCTTTTGATTGGTCGGGCATTTTTCCAGGTTTGACCCAACGAGTGGAAGGAATTCTCATAGGTTGTGTGAGCTACACCCACACCAAGGGCCCTAGGTATAGCTGTCAGGCTTATACTGGGCTCAGCGCTGATTGCTCTCCCTTTGGCAGTGGTTTCTTTTTGCCCTCCCTTTGAGCAAGTTCAGGGTACCTACCCAAAGCGAAACCCAAGAAACCACAAAGACCCTCTCTTCAGGTTCCATGCGCTGTGAGGAGTCTGAGATGCTCTTGGTCTCGGTCCGGAGCCCGAGAGATCGCCGGAACGCGTTTCAGCACGGCACGGGCGGCGTCAAGAGAAAAGTCCTTTCCTGGGTGCGGTTTAGTCACTCTCCACTCAAATCCATCCGTTCCAGAAGTCCAAAAGCACAGGAATTCGGATTGGGATGCTTCGACATCAGCCGGTTGGATGTTTCTTCCCCCGCTTTTCGCGCCGTGAGAGGGCCATCTCGGGCGAGGTTTGGACAGATCTCCGGGGCGTGCCGTGAGGCCCTGGGCGGCTTGTCCCGGGTCCGGCGCTGGCGGGAGGCGCTCTGCTTGAGGCGGCGTGCCATCGTTGCGAGTGAGCGAGCGAGCGTGGTGTGTGCGTGCGTGCGAGTGAGCGAGCGAGCGTGCGTGTGTGGGTGTGGGTGTGGGTGTGGGTGTGGTTGTGGTTGTGGTTGTGGTTGTGGTTGCGGTTGCTTTTGCGGTTGTGTTTGTGTTTGTGCTTGTGCTTGTGGGTGTGGGTGTGCGTGTGCGTGTGTGCGTGTGCGTGTTCGTGTGGCGTGTGGCGTGTGCGTGTGCGTGTGCGTGTGCGCGTGCGCGTGCGTGCGTGCGTGCGTGCGTGCGTGCGTGCGTGCGTGCGTGCGTGCGTGCGTGCGTGCGTGCGTGCGTGCGTGCGTGCGTGCGTGCGTGCGTGCGTGCGTGCGTGCGTGCGTGCGTGCGTGCGTGCGTGCGAGCGTGCGTGCGTGCGTGCGTGCGTGCGTGCGTGCGTGCGTGCGTGCGTGCGTGCGTGCGTGCGTGCGTGCGTGCGTGCGTGCGTGCGTGCGTGCGTGCGTGCGTGCGTGCGTGCGTGCGTGCGTGCGTGCGTGCGTGCGTGCGTGCGTGCGTGCGTGCGTGCGTGCGTGCGTGCGTGCGTGCGTGCGTGCGTGCGTGCGTGCGTGCGTGCGTGCGTGCGTGCGTGCGTGCGTGCTTGCGTGTGTGTGTCTGTGTGTGTACTTTGCGCTTTCTTTTTGGCTTCGGGGGGCAGGCTGTGTCGTTGAGGAGGGGGTGAGGAGGGGGTCTCGCTTTGGGGTGGGGTTTGCTTGGATTAGTGGTTTAGAGGTCAGCTGGTTTCCCTTTTGGACCCATGCGTCCAAGTTCCAACGAATAGGGGCCAATTCAACCCCCTACCCAACCAGCGCCAACCATCCTTTGTGGGTTTTGATGGCATTCTTGATGGACTCAAATGCTCACTTCCTGAGCTCATGAACTTCAAACTTTTGGGAAGCCCATTTTGGTGGTAAATTTTAAGTTTGGTTCCTTTTTTGTGGGCCATCCACTCAGCAATAAAGAGAATGGGTCTGAATCCTCTTGAAATGAAGAGGCTCCAACGAATAGGACAGCATTTCCAGAGCTTGCCTGTTTGCCAGGGCCGATTCCGCGCGCTTTGCCGGCCCCGCAGCGGCCAGTCTGGGGGCCCACGGAACATCGGAACCTGGGGACGGCCTTGGCGGGTCAGGGAGTTGGCGAGTGGAGGCAGTCGGGGTTTTGGCCGTACAAGGGCATGTGGCAGTGAGTTTTAGTTGGGAACCACCTCAAAAGTGGTTGGTGGACGTAAATCCTCACCCAAATGATGCCCGCCAAAGGGGCCCATCTGGAAATTCACGCCGATGTGTCCCCCGAAGGCAGGTTGGTTTGTTTCTTTTCACCCTAAGAAGGTCCTTCAAATTGGAGTACATACAGTGGCAAGCATCCGGCAGTGGAGTTCCTGGCTTTTGGACAGATTGCAATGTGATATAGATGGGAACCAGCAAGGCTTCTTTGTCAGCTCCATCAACCAGTAGGTTACTTGCCTCTTTGCGTACCTGACAAGCAACGTTGGCCAACGGCATCGTGCTGATTAAAGCCACCAAACAGCCCCCTTGTGTGGCCTTTCTGCTGGCTCATCCATTCAACATCCAAATGAACATTCTTCGGTGAGGTCAGCGATGGGACAATGACTGAAACACAATCGATTGAGGGTTGAATCCATGAATTTCTAACTAAGGTTCTGAACTCTCAGCGGGCCTAGTTTGCATTGCAATGGCTCGTTCCTTTGATTCCAGAACCTTTCCGAGACACATGCTGGGCTCATAGCATCATGTGCTGCCGCGGCAAGTTTCACCAAGATACTGTGGGTGGACGACATCCATTTCGTACCACCTAAGAAACCGTGGAAAACCATTGTTTGTTGGTATTTACTGGGGAATCCTCATTCAGGGGTTTCTTAGGTGGTGCAGGATTTTGTTTATCCACAGTATGGATCAGAATCTACACAAGTAGTTGCGCATCGGAGGCAAACGCCGAGATCGAATTCTTCGCCCTTGGCCGACTTTTCTTTTGAGCTTTGCAGCTCAAGCCGCTCTGATCATCCTGTCAATCACAAGGAACCAGTGGCGAAGTTCTGCAAAGCCTTCGATTTTGAGAGTTGGAGCGAGTGAGAACACGTCAGACAACATTGGTAGATACGTAGCATGTGTAGGATTCGATGCCATTGGCTCTAAGAACCCTGCAACGTACCTTTGGAGCACACCTGTTGGAGGGGCTCCTGGGTCGACTCGAGAGTTTCACACCCTCCAGACAACCGACGTGTGAGAAATCAATGGCATGTGTGCTTTGAGGCAACGCCCATCTTCCGAAGCAGCCAAGAAATGATTCCACCGCTTGTTTCACTTTGAGCACTCTCCTGCAACACCTTTCGGGCTGCTTGTTGTTTTCCACATGTGCAATCACCTTGTGCCAACTGATCTCCAGCTCCTGTGCTCCAGGGTCAACCAACCAGCTCCGGCGCTGCCATGGCGGAATCGGCGGAAACGGCAGATGCGGACGCGCTCCGGGTGGCGGTGTCTTCCCGGAGCCGGCGCTGGGTGCAGCCCATGCCGGTTCAGAGCGCCTCGCCTCAAGTGTCGGGGGAGGGGGGGCTTCCATTTGCTTAAGAGTATATTTATTATTTTCCCCTGGTGGTTTTAAAGGGAATCTATCACTACTGGATTTTGTTTTTCCGGGGGTCTTAACCAAATGGAAGGGGGGGGTTCACATCACCGCCGGCTGTGTCAATCCGTTTGAGGCTCGGTACCCATGACATGGGGTGGTTCCTCATTCACTAAACAGAGGGTTTATTGTCCACAACCCTGGCTTTCATGGCGCACCATATCACATTTTGAGCGCCCCGCTTCCGAAAGGGGCTGAAGAACACTAGCGATGACTCATCCACGATGGAGGCTCCTTGGTATGATTTTCCCAGATCCCTAGAGCCGTTGATTTTTCTTCCAAGGGCCCGAAGGCCGTGCGTCAGGGTCTGTATTTTGGGGCGAATTTCTGAAGGGCCGACCATGGCCGACTCGGCAGCTTTTCTTTTGTCGAGATGTTCTTGGATCCATTGGAGGTTTGTCCCTCGCAAATGAACATGGAAGGATTGACCTGAGACACCATGTATTGGTCTGATATGTTGATGCAAGATTTCAGAAAGAAACTGATCTCTAAACATGTTCTTCGCCCGTATGGTTTTCCTGGGCGGGGCAAGCTGTTTTAAAGGAAGCTCCCGATTTGGAAGGAACGCCCATGCATTGCTTTCATGTTTTCCGATCAAAGCCCCAGGAAAGGATCGCTACAAAAAGGGGTTGTTTTCAACATAGGCCAACATGGTTTGCGTGATTCTTGTTTTCAATCCCACCGGTCAAAAGCCTGGTGCGATTGTTTCTTTCCCGTCTGAGGCACCGTAAAGGACCTGAAGATGCAGCTGGCAAAGGAGCCGGGGCCTCTAGTGGTTTCGGATCCCTCAGTAATTCAGGCATAGGGAGGTAAGGGAGGGGGGGGGCCGGTGTTAGGGTAATCCTTGTATATCAGGTTCCTTTCAGCAATGGACGTCTTTTGCCTTGGGAATGACTGCGGGGGGGGGGGGAGCCTTGGTGCAAATGCCAAAGCTTTTGTGCGGATCCGGGATCCGGGGTTCCAGGGCTACTGTGCGCGCAAATTGCGCATGTTGGGGGCGTTCTGGGCATGAGAAGCGTGTGGATGGGCTCTGCCACGTACACGAAGTTCTTCACGACTTTGGTTGCCACTTTTGGGGTTTGGCGGCCATTTAAGTGGTAAACCGTCCGTTCGATCGGGCGTGAGTTTCTCGGTAGGGTTCTTTTGGTTTTCGACGTACCGTCCGTGGCTCGGGTTCAATTGCCCGTTTTCCGGCTGGTGTTCCTTAAATTAAAGCAACCCCAAAAGCGAAACAAACCCGAAACAAACCCGAAACACACGCGATACATACCCACTTTGAGCGGAATCCTGTTAAACATCACCTCATTCAAGTTCTCTTTTGGAGTGGAAACCTAAAAGCCAGATTCTCTTTCGAGGAACATATGATGATGCTTAAACCATTGGTTTTGAGTGGACAATTTGGTTGACCCAGGATTCCGAAAGCTCCGGACCACTGCTGGGGAGAACACGCCCCTATTTCTCTGCCAAGGTCAATATTTCGGGCTCGACGTTACAGTTTGGTAGGTATACAGCCGAAGTATGATTCCGGTATTACGAACCTACATGGCCCACACTTGGTTGGAAGGTTTGACATGGATATTGACGGGCTCAAGTCATTTGGGTGTCGGTCAAAATTAAAACCGCCAAGGGACTGCAGGTGTTGGTCCATGTTACATTTACCAGGGCTCCATTTTGGTACCTGTTTTTGACCCACACCCAAATCATGTGCGAGTAGCTTGTTTGCACAAGCTACTCGTTGTCCAGCAAACAGTTCAAACTCTTTGCGCCGGGTGCTGGAGAAATTCAGGAGTTTAGGGGTTGGAAAAGCACGGCCTTTTTGTATTTTTCCGGATGGTTGTCAGTCTCTCGAACACGTTGCTGCTTGCAAATGAGACGCGACCTCTCAACAGGTTTGCGACTTCACCTGTAATCAATAATTTTTGTTTGGTATCCAGTATTTCAGGTTGGAGAATCATTGACATCATCATAGTTTACCCCGACGATTGTTTTTCTGACCCCGACCTTCCCTCGAAGGAACTGTGCGTTCCATGCCCTTAGCGAAGCTTTTGACAGGCAGAGATGAACGCAACATGACTAAACATGCAAGTGGCTTAGAGGCCTTTTGCTTTTCTGCTTTGGTCTCTATTCTTTGCTTTTGGGTTTGATATCTACCCTTACAGAGCCTTTCTGGGGTTAGGCCCGTGCCCTTGAATATTTTGTTGGGACCCGGTCGAGATCAGCTTCGACACAGCCCAAGACAAAGGCCCCATTCCAAAGGCTTTCAGCGGGGTCTTTGGGGGATGACAGGGTGCATGTTTGAACGGGCAGGTGGTCCATCCCCATCGTTTGCCAGAGCCTGTCGCTTGGCTGTGTGGCTTGGCGCACCGACTTTTAGTTTGGTGCGTGGGTTTAGGACCTCAGCGATGGGTGGCTCGCTTTTTGTTTTGTTTTTGTTTTGAGCCGGTAGCCCTGTTGGAGTTGGTTTAAAAGGGAAACCGAAAGGAGAACCTTTGCCATTTTTGGGCCCCTTAAAAGAAAGACGCGCCCAGATGGTTTACCAGCGTTTTCCTCACTTGTGGACAAATGGTTGGCCTTCCTTTGTGGAAATAGTCTGACTAGTAGCCCGGCCATGCGGGGCATCAACCTTCCGCCGTGTGGCACAATTTGCTGATGTTTCACGAACCTCGTTTTGGAGCCGGAAGGTGTCACAGATTGGTGGCAAGTGTATCTATCCTTTCAAGCCGGGTCAAGATTTGTCAACGAGTTCTGCCTTGGCCCATGAAACGCAAGCAGCCCATGAACCCTTTACTATCCGAACATGACGCCCACGAAAAGCCGCCGGTAAAAAATCACACAGACACACAGACACACAAACACACAAACACACAAACACACAAACACACAAACACACAAACACACAAACACACAAACACACAACACACAAACACACAAACACACAAACACACAAACACACAAACACACAAACACACAAACACACAAACACACAAACACACAAACACACAAACACACAAACACACAAACACACAAACACACAAACACACAAACACACAAACACACAAACACACAAACACACAAACCACACACACACAAACACACAAACACACAAACACACAAACACACAAACACACAAACACACAAACACACAAACACACAAACACACAAACACACAAACACACAAACACACAAACACACAAACACACAAACACACAAACACACAAACACACAAACACACAAACACACAAACACACACACACAACACACAAACACACAAACACACAAACACACAAACACACAAACACACAAACACACAAACACACAAACACACAAACACAAACACACAAACACAAACACACAAACACACAAACACACAAACACACAAACACACAAACACACAAACACACAAACACACAAACACACAAACACACAAACACACAAACA